AAGAGTGTGGTGGTCTGTGTGTCGGGAACAGTGGGAACTGTGAAGGGAAAAGTCCCCAGGACCAAGGAGGACCCCCTCCTGCCCTTTATCCATAGAGAGGCACTCCAGAAGGGAGGGGCCAGCCCGTGGCATGGTGGGTGTTTGAGTTCTGGCCCCAGAGGCTTGGAAAACGCACTGAGCACGTCTGTGTGCCCAGAATTCTGAAAGGCAGAAAGAAGGAGAAGGGATTGCTGCATGACTGTACCTCATGGGGTGCTTTCTCACCTTTCCTCTCTCTCTCTCTCGCTCTTAACTCACTTGTTCTCTCTGGCAAGCTCATGTACCCCGCAGATCGGGAAATTTGCTAAAAAACACAAACGTCGTGTGAGGCCCAGTTGACATAGTGTGTGCCGATTGCTGCCACTAGGCAGGCTGCGGCCACGTGGGAGGCCTGGATTCAGTGCCCAGCCTTTAAAAAGCCAGGGACAGTGGCTGAGCTGATGGTTCCAGGTACTTGGGAGACTGAGGCAGGAGGATCATGATGCAGTGAGACCCTAAGACACCCCCACACATACTTAAATGCACTTGTGTGAGAATGATGATAGACTTGAGGTTCTTGAGCACTGTAAGAAAAGGGGAAAGGGATGGAGGGAAGAGCCTGGTCATTCCTGTTTGACTCTGAGAACTCTTCCTCAACAAGCTGGCTCTGAAGCACCGGCAGGGCAAGAACCACAAGATGCGCATCATCGCGTTCGTGGGGAGCCCCGTGGAGGACAACGAGAAGGACGTGAGTCCAGTCAGGGCAGGAGTGGGTGTGGGCAGCTGTGTTTGGGAATGCGGGCTGTCAGCCTGGTGAGGCTTTGGGCTCATCACTCAAGGGGCGAGGCAGATATGCAAGATTCAGTGTGTTTGTTGGGCCTTGGGGCGTCAACAGCTTTCTGTATGGTTTCTGTGATGGGCCCTTCCCCCTCCAGTGTAGAACCGATTTCTACATTTTTCTCCCTTTCTTCTCAGCTGGTGAAACTGGCCAAACGCCTTAAGAAGGAGAAAGTAAATGTTGACATCATCAACTTTGGGGAAGAGGTGAGTAGGGACGGGTTGGAGACTGTAGGGAGCAGTCAGATCTGAGCTGGATAATGGTGACCTTTATTTATTTATTTATTTTTAAGGAATTAGTATTTAGTTCATTTGTTACTATTTTTTAATTTGACCAGATAGGGAGAGAGAGAGAAAGGGAAAGCGAGAGAGCAAGCTGCCTGGTCTGGGATTCGGACTGTGGTTGACCTTTAACCACCATGCCACCTGCTGGCCCCAGTGATGACCTTTAAAGAAAAGCAGAGCAAGGGACCAGCAGTTAGCATAATGGCTATGTCGCTGGACTCCCATGTAGTTGAGCGCATGTGCGTGCGTGCCCAAGATCCTGAGGAGAATGGAGGAGAAGGGATTGTGGCATGACCATCCCCCCTGGAGGGTGATTCCTCGCTTTCTGTCTCTCTGTCTCTCTCTGTCTGTCTGGCGAGCGCACACGCCCTGTAGCAAAAACCTCTCAAAAAAAGAAAGAAAGAAAAGAAAATCAGAGCGCAGATTCTCACTGGGGCCGATGCTGCGTAGTGGGCGGAGATGAAAGGAGACTGTCAGCCAGAGAAGGCCAATGGGGCTTATTTAGACCAAGGGACGCAGAGTGCTCCATAGCTGCAGTTGATAAGGGAAGACACCTGGCTTTACCTTCCGCTGCTCCCTCTCCTAGTTCCCTATAAAGGAATAAGCCTGGGAACAGCTCAGTGCCATGGTGATCTCCATCAGCGACGCCCTGTCTGCCCCGTCTCCGCTTTTTTCTGTGTATTCTTTCTCCCACTCGGCGTTCACCCTGCCCCTCATTTCATTGGGCCAGAACAGGGGGCAGTGTCTTGGTTTGGTTTTAAACAGCAGTGTTACCGTGGCACTGTGGGTGACTAGCCACAGGCGGGAACCAAGTGGCAGAGAGTAGGGAGCAGGGCCTGAGGGCATCCTGTGTTCTTCCTCTGCAGGAGGTGAACACGGAAAAGCTGACAGCCTTTGTAAACACACTGAACGGCAAAGATGGAACTGGTTCTCATCTGGTGACAGTGCCTCCTGGGCCCAGCTTGGCCGATGCCCTCATCAGCTCTCCGATTCTGGCTGGCGAGGGCGGTGCCATGCTGGGTCTTGGTGCTAGTGATTTTGAATTTGGAGTGGATCCCAGTGCTGATCCTGAGCTGGCCCTGGTGAGCAGATGTTGGCCCCTGGGAAAGCCCGGGTCCCTCCTTGGTCTCCTCTACTCACACACATCACAGAGCTGCCATGAGCTGGGCAGTCCTGAGCACTCCCATGACCCTCACTCATTCGCCAAGGCCTCCTTCCATCCCACAATGTCAGACTCGTTCACTTCTCCTGGTGAGACCATAGGCTTCTTCCAAGTCCTTATTTCTGTATCATCTCTCACCCTGCAGTGGCTTTCCCACAGGATAAACTGGAAACTGCCCCTTAGGCTCCTTTCCCCTGCCCATAGCTGATTTCCCAGCTCTGGAGGGAGGGCGTCCTGCTCTGACTCTGATCACCGATCTGACCCTGCCCTTCGCAGGCCCTTCGCGTCTCCATGGAGGAGCAGCGGCAGCGACAGGAGGAGGACGCCTGCCTCTGCTGCCGAAGCCGGGATTGCTCCAGCTGGGGCTGAAGGTGAATGAGGTGGCATCTGAAGTCCCAGGCCTGCAGGGCGCTGAGCATTGAAAGCTGGGGGTGGACGTGGCAGAGGGAGTGAGGAGGCTGGGCAGGGTGGCTGTTTGGAGGGTTGGGCCGAGGGAGCAGCTCCAGAGCTGGCGTGTGGAGGACAGCGCGAGTCGCACCTTGCCCTCCTTTCCTCTGCAGACTCAGACGACGCCCTTCTGAAGATGACTATCAGCCAGCAGGAGTTCAGCCGCGCAGGGCTCCCTGACCTGAGCAGTATGACTGAGGAGGAACAGATTGCCTATGCCATGCAGATGTCCCTGCAGGGAGCAGGTGAGCTGGCCTGGGTGGCAGTGCTCAGGCCAAGGCCAGGCTGGCAGCTGGCACTGAACAGATGGATCTCTTTTCTCAGAGTTCGGCCAGGCAGAATCAGCAGATCTTGATGCCAGCTCAGCCATGGACACATCTGAGCCAGCCAAGGTGAGAGCCACCAGTGACCAGCTGTGTCCAGCAGGCTTCGGGTCCCCTGTGCTGAGATCCCCAGCCCTGGAGGGCGGGGGCCGTTCTTCCCTTAGAGTTTCATAGATGAGTCCTTGAGGAGCTCTTGATGCCAGGATCCATCCCCAGCCAGCCCCAGATCCTGGGCACACATGTGCCCGGCAGACATGCCTTTCTTGTTCTTGTTTGAAAACCTCACCCAGACAACAGGGTACGTGGTCAAGGTGGGAGAAATGGCCTTGTGTTCTGAAATGTTCGTTTCTTGCTGGTGGGAGCAGTCTGAACAGTTGTCTAGGAGATGATCTTCCCAGCAGGGTCAGAGAGGGTCTGGGGGAAAAAGGCATAGGTCTGACGGCAGGAAGCCTGACTGATGGCGCTTGTACTTGCCCTCTGAGAAGTTAACCACGTTCTCAGGTCTGTCTGTGTGGTTAGTAATAAATGCTTAGCTTCATGCCATATCTAGGCACTGTGTGTTGTTGTTATTATTATTTTTAGTTTTTTGCCATAGAGTGTGCATGCTCACTGGAGAGAGAAAGAGAGGGAAAGTGAGAAATCTCCCTTTACGAGGGGATGGCCGTGCCATAATCCCTTCTCTTCCATTCTTCTCTTGGGATTTTGGGCACGCATGTAAATGTGCCTCGTGTGATTTTCAAGCCGCAGGGTCCAGGGCTGAAACTGTTGTTGGCTGCCCAAAGCCTTAATCACTATGCCACCCGGCGGCCCCCATGAGAGAGTTGCACCCCCAACAGGCTCTTGATGCTAGGATCCATCCCCAGCCAGCCCCAGATCCTGGGCACACTTGTGCCTGGCATACTCTGAGAGCCCTGAAGCTTCCATATGTGTGAACCTCTCAGGGCATTGCACTTTTCCTGGGGCCACGGCATAGCCCCCAGTGCTGCATTGCTGAATTCGTCCTTCCTTCTGTCAGAGGTGCCCCCTTCCCTCCAGTCAAGAGGAGAAGGGGTCTCAGGCAGCAGCAAGCTCCTGGCTCTCATACCTGCTGCTCCTGCTAGCCCGACCCTGCCCCGAGCTAACGCTGCCTGTTTGCAGGAGGAGGATGATTATGACGTGATGCAGGACCCGGAGTTCCTTCAGAGTGTCCTAGAGAACCTTCCAGGTGTGGATCCCAACAATGAAGCCATTCGAAATGCCATGGGCTCTTTGGCCTCCCAGGCCACGAAGGATGGCAAGAAAGACAAGAAGGAGGAGGACAAGAAGTGACACTGAGGGAAAGGGTAGCTGAGCCTGCTCAGGGGACTGTGTGGGGGCAGGGGGATATAGAGTTAGGTACGTTATCTGTAACCAGGACAACCGAATAAAGCTTCACAACTTTTTTTCCTTTTTGCTTCAAGTAGTGGTAGCTTTGAGTGAGTGAAGGAGTGTATAGCTGAAGGAGCGCCTTCCTGTTGAGTTCTCGGTGTCTTGTCCCCAGGTCTTCAAATCCTGACCCACTCGCTCCTGTCCCTTCTGTGTCCGTCCAGGACAGTCCCTCCCAAGTTCTGGCTGCCCAGGGCTGTTGGACCTCAGTAAGAGGCTGTGCTGAGAGCCTGTTTCATGCTAGCACTGGGGCCACGAGGTGTAGAGAAGGCCTTCTGGCCCTTGGGACTGTGAGGTTGCCTTTGTGAGGGATTCCAGGTCTGAGAAGGGCCAGCAGAGCTCTTGGGAGTGGTGAGGGCACAGCTGGCTTGGGCAGCCTCTTGGGGAGGCTCTTAGAGGGAACATTTGCAACCTCTGAGGGGGCGAAGAGCTCATCCGCTGAGGGGCGGAGCCGGGGTGAGCCATCGCAGGAGCAGTGTGTGCTGACGGTGCACCTCCGAGGGACTGAGGGCGGGGGACTGAGGGCGCAGAGACGGGGCTGTCGACCATGGTAGGAGAGAGCCTGAGAAGTCGACCCCAGCCAGGATAGTAGGGATCAGGCGCCTCTCAGCCTGGCTTTCACAGGGGGGACCCGTGAAGCCACAGGACAGGACACAGTGCATCTTTTTTTTTTTTTTTTTTAAATTTTTTTTGAGAGGTTTTGACTATAAGGACACATGCACTGGGGGGATGGTCATACCACAGTCTCTCCTCCATTCTCGTCTGGGATCTTGGGCACACACGCACATGTGCCCTGGTGTGAGTTTAAGTCACCGGGTCCGGGACTTGAACTGCAGTCGACTACATGGGAGTCCAGCAACGCAGCCATTATGCCAACTGCTGGACCCATGGACACAGTGCATCTTCATGAGTGCCACACGTGGTGTAGAATGTAGCATCCAGTCTCCTCGCTTTGTTTTGGTGCCTTCCTAGGCACCTCTGTGTGCCTCCTGGAGCCCACTTGTCTCCTCAGATGTTGCTGTTGTCTTGAATTTTGCATTTATTGTTTCATTCCTCAACATCAATTTTCTCATGTATGCTTATTTTTAAACATTCTTATGGGAAGTGCACCCCCTGCTGGCCAGATGTTACAAGGACCAAGACCTCATCTGTGGAAGGCAGCCTTCTTTATTTGCTTGCTTGTCTGCATTCTTGCCATAGGGTGTGTAGGCTTGCCAGAAAGAAAAGTCACCCCTCAGGACGCAGGGCCTCAATTCCTTCTCCACACACAGACCGTCCAGCATGATACCCAAGCTGCAGGATTCAGGTCTTGAATCGCACAGCCAGCCATCTGGGATCCAGTGCCTTAACCTCCACACCATCTGCTGGCCTACCTTCTCATTTGTTTCTGAAGTTTATCTCTTCCATGAAAGAGACAGAAACAGGTGCAAGCAGCTGGACCTTTACACTGCCATCCAGCCCCAGCGTCAGTCGCTTCGATCACGGGCAATGTGCAAGGAGGCTCTGGGTGGTGAACCTAGGACCATCCCATGTGGGTTCAGTTTTGTTACCATTGTACCACTGGCCTAAGTTTTTTGTGTGTTTTTGAGCTTTGTTGAAAATAGCTTTATAAAAACTTAAGACTTCTGGGATTTTTTTAAAAGGTTTTTGCCATAGGGTGCATGTGCATGTATGTCAGAGAGAGGGACAGAGAAGAAAGTGAGAATCCCTTTTCCATTCTCAGGATTTGGGGCATGCACATGCAAAATGCCCAGTGTGATTTTCAGGCTGCCAGGTCCAACTGTGTGGGAGTCTGGCGCCTTAATCTCCACACTACCTGCTGGCCCAGACTCTGTAAAATATTGAAAAAGGTTATTCTAAATTAAATAGATGTGACTGCAGCCAGGTGAGCATACTTCAGGGAGACCCAGCACGCTCAAACCTTAAACAGGGTTTAAGACAAAAACCAAAAGCAGGAGGGGATTGTCCTAATTGGAAGAATTATTATTGGCTACAAAGACCAGTAACAAGGTTGGACTGGGTAGATGTTTTGCAGAAGTCCCAGTGTCAGGTTACAGTGGTCTTTGTGCAAGGTTGTGATTCTGGCAGAGTTCTCTAAATACCAGTTCTTGTTATAAGGCATGCGAGCGGTGAGAAAACGCCTCCATGTCCTTCCCAGCCCAGTTTAGTCAGAGTTGACATCAACTCCATTTTGGAACTGGCAGTTGGCGTAATGGCTATGTTGCTGGACTCCCACATAGTCGACCGTGGTTCAAGTCCTGGACCCGGTGGCTTAAACTCATGCTAGGCGCCTGTGCATGTGTGCCCAGGATCCGGAGAGGAGAACGGAGGAGAAGGGATTGTGGCGTGGCCATCCCCCTTGGGGGTGATTTCTCACTTTCTATCTCTCTCTTTGGCAAGCGCACATGCTCTATAGCAAAAACCTCTCAAAATAAATAAATAAAACTCCATTTTAATTCTGAAAAACTTTGGAGAGTGCAAAGAAAATTTCGCAATCTATGCATAGTTTTTTTTCTTAGTTTTTGCCATTGGGCATGTGTGCTCACTAGAAAGGGAGACAGGAAGAAAATGACAAATCCCTGGGACCAGCAGGTGGCGTGGTGGTTAAGGTGCTGGACACTCCCACATGGCCGACTAGGGTTCGAGTCCTGAACCTGGTGGCTTGCTTTTTCACTTCCTCTCTCTCTCACCCTCTGTCTCTCTCTGGTCAAACTAAAAAAAAATAAACAAATGAATAAAATAAAATAAATCATTATTTTTAAAAAAAGAAAAGAAAATGACAAATCCTCCCCAGGTGAGAGAGCGATGCTGCAATCCCTTCTCTATTTTCTTGGGATTTGGGGCACGCACACACACATGTGACATGAACCATGCAGTCGACCATGTGGGATCCAGCACCTTCACCACACCACCTGCTGGCCCATAGTGTTTTTCATAACATGCATTTTCCATTAGTGTTCTGAAGACCCCTTCCCACTCATAGTTGAAGAAAAAGTAAAGCTTACTAATTCCATTAGATCTCAACCCCAGAACACACACATCTTGAATAATTTCTGAGGTAGATGGGAAGTACACTACTGCACACCAGAGCACAGTTTATTTTTAAACAATTATTAACTTTATTTTTTTTTAATAATTATTTGTATTTATTCATTTATTTTAATTTGACCAGACAGAGAGAGTGAAAGAGAAATGCCACTAGGTCCAGGACTTGAACTGTGGTTGGCCATGTGGGAGTCCAGTGTCCCCAACCACCACACCACCTGCCCGCCC